GGATTCCATCACAAATGGATAAATATGGAACCAGTGTTTAAAAAGTCAAGGCTTTCACACTAAAAGAAAATCTTTGATGGTTACTGTGGGAGAGAAAGAAGGGAGGGATGGAGTGTTGGGCTAGAGGGAGACAAGTGTTAGGTGCAAAGGAAAGCAATATACAGTAAGATGGAGGTTGGCAGAAAATGATGGAGGCGGGGGAAAGCTCTGAGGTTTCCAAGAGTTAAGGCAGCAAAGACAGATACTGTGAAAAACACATTCCTTCAATAATAGTGAGCTATGAGTAGATGCTTGGATAGACACTTAAATAGGTGTTGGACATAGAGTGGGAATATGCCCATGACTTTATATATATATAAATATATACACACAGACACCATACATGCATACATACCATACATACATACACAGGATATTTGTGTATGAGTATTTACTTTTGCTGCAAATATATCCATGAAAGTGGTGGAGCAGCCAGGGGACAAAATTATGAAAACTTCTTAGCCATAACTAAACATTTGGAGAGAAGGACTCAACTGGAGAAGGACTACAGGCTTGGGGATGCCTAGGTGAAATGGCATAATAAAGTTTACAAAGACAATGTTCTACATTCCACTTTGGTGAGTTGCAACTGGAGTCCTAAAATCTCCTGAGCAGCCATTTAAGATGCAATTATTGATCTCTCCCCATCCAGAGGAGAGAAGAATGATAAAGTCATGTCCAAATGTACGTTAGGGGCCTAATGTACCACACATACATATCATTCCCCACAATCCTGAGACCAGAAGAACTAGGTGGTGCTGGGCAACCACTATCAATTGCTTTGAAAAGGATCTCCCACTACATAGAGTGGGAGGAAAAAATGTGGAACAGAACTTAAATTAGGAAAGACACCTGGCTTACTTGTTAGATAGGGATTGTTGGGACCGCTAAGACCACAGCCCTCAGCCACCCTTTAGGTCTGGCACCGAACTAACCCTGTGTTATATTAATTGACCATTAAGATCAGAAAGGCAGCACCTACTCAATAGCAAAGTGCAGAAGGCTTGGTAAAAATGAAGTAGACATAGGAAATGTGATGACTGGTGATGCATTGAAGGAATTACGATGGATGAGTTGAAACAAAAAGTAGGGATTGTTGAATGTAAACTGATGTATCTGCTCTGTAAAACTTCACCTAATTCATAATAATATGCTAAAAAGAAGAGAAAGGAGAAAAAGTGCTGAATAGATTTCAAAGGGTGGCTCTAGAACAGTGGCTCTCAACCTTCCTAATGCCACGACTCTTTAATAGAGTTCTTCATGCTGTGACCCCCAACCATAAAATTATTTTCATTGCTACTTCACAACTAATTTTGCTACTGTTATGTATCGGGCAACCCCTGTGAAAGGGGTCGTGACCCACAGGTTGAGAACCGCTGCTGTAGAAGATAAGGTATTATAATGGCATGTGCAAATACATGGAACTAAAAATCCATAAGAGATTTTCCATCTCTCAAATGGAAATAAAGGTAGAAAAAGTTCAAGCCTTAAGTTGCATTATTGAAGGATTCTGTCAGTAAAATACTGAGTGATGCTAGGAGCATCAAAAGATGAAAGGAATACACAAGGTCATTGTACTGAAAAGAAGTGGCAAACATTAAACTCTTAGGAGGTGGCATCTGATCTAAAAGCAATGGTACTAAGGAAAAAAGTCCAAGCTGCACTGAAGATAATTGGCAAAACATCACAGCTCTGGAAGTCACAGAATACCAATTGAAATGTTTCAGCACAGGAATGTAGTATTGGAAATGCTTATTTGTCTATGCCATTAAATTTGGAAGATAGCTGCCTGGCCAACCAGAAGAGACCCTTGTATGTGTTCATTCCTAAGACAGCTAATCCAACAGAAGTCAGGAGGTTAGCACACGTGGAGGTTAATTTTCCGCTGAAATAATTAAAAACAGTTGCAGCAGTACATTGACAGCACTGCCAGACACTCAAACCAGTTTCACCAGAGGACATGGAATGACAGAGATCATTTCTGACATTTTATGGGTCTTAGCTGAAAGATGAGAATACCAAAAGTATGTTTACCTGTGTTTTATTAATTTTGCAAACGCATTTTACTATGTGGATCATAACAAACGATGGATAATTTGAGAAGAATGGAAATTCCAGAACACTTCATTTTGCTCATGTAGAACTTGACATAGGCCAAGAGTCAGTCATTCAACAGAATAGTGAGATACTGTATGGTTTAAAAGTCAGGAAAGATGTGCATCAGGGTTGTATCTTTCACATACTCATTTTGTATGTTGAACAGAAATCAGATAAACTGGGCTCTATGAAGAAAAGTACAGCATTAGGATTGGAGGATGGCTCGTTAACAAAATCAATAAGCAGATAACCTTGTTTGCTAAAAGTGAAGAGGAAGCACTTACAGATGAAAATCAAAGACGATCGTCTTCAATATGGATTATACCAAGATAAAGATAACAAAAATCCTCACAACTGAAGCATTAAGCAATATCATTGTAAATGGGGGTGGGGTGGGGGTGAGGAATGAAGTTGGGAAGTATTTCATTTTATGTGTATCTGAAATCAATGTCTATGGAAATAGCAGTCAGAAACTCAGATACATATTGCATTGGACCAAACCTGCTGTTGGAAGACTTCTTTAAAGTCTCTAAGAGCCGAGACGTCACTTTAAGACTTAGGTGAGCTTGACCCAAGCCTTGGCATTTTCATTAGCTTCATATTCATGTGAAAATTGGGAGACAAAATAAGATTGATGCATTTTAATAACGGTGTTGGTGAAGAATATTGAATATACCATGGATGTCAGAAGAACAAATTTATCTGGGAAAAGGTACAGGCAGAATGCTCTTTAGAAGCAAGTATGGCAAGACTTTGTCTCCCCTACTTCGGTTGGACACATCCTCAGGAGGGACAAGTCTCTGGAGAAGGACCATATGCTTGATAATGTCGAGGGTCAGCAAAGAAGAGGAAGACCCTTAAAGAGGCAGATTGGCACAGGGTCTGCAGCAGCAGGCCCAAACACGGGAGCAGTTGTGATGACGGCACAGGGCTGGGCAGTGTTTCATTCTGTTGTGCACGCGGCCACTGTATGCGGGAGCACTTGTGATGACGGCACAGGGCTGGGCAGTGTTTCATTCTGTTGTGCACGCGGCCACTGTATGCGGGAGCAGTTGTGATGACGGCACAGGGCTGGGCAGTGTTTCATTCTGTTGTGCACGCGGCCACTGTATGCAATTGGAACCGATATGATGGCAGTTAACAACATTCTGAGCGAGGTGGAACTCTCATATGTTTGAAGAGTTTTCATTTCATGTTAGATGTACTGTGAGTTCACATTTGGGCTTTTGAACCTTACTGACATGGCAAATATAAATTAAAAGTTTATTTAAAGTCAGCGATGCTTGCATTTCAAGCACAGGGCTAAAATGCAAAGTTTTAACGAATTTAGTCTAATTTCCACCCTGGATTTTCCATTTTGTGTTTGTAACTTCATATAGTGTGTATTGAGGGGAGGAAGGTCCTGATGTTTCTAGTTGAAGTATTTAAAATTTCTTATTTTGTATGACTTGGGTTGGGAGGTGGAGGAACAAAAGTTAGACTGGTCCTTCAGTTGGTGTAGACCTGAGATATAAAGTTATTAGAATCTGGTAGGAAAAGGTCTTTAGTATTAACATAAGGTAAGAAGCATGGAACAGTTTGTCACAGTGGGTTACACAGTGGGGCTGCTATCCGCCAGGTCAGCAGTTTGAAACCACCAACTGCTCTGTGGGAGAAAGATGAGACTTTTTGCTTCTGTAAAGATTTATAGTCTCAGAAACCCACAGGGGCAGTTTACCCTGAATTGACTCGATGGCAGTGAGATTTTAAATAAATGGATATAGTTGGTTCATAGGATCCAAAGGACTTATTAGGAAGTGTTATGGAGTTGATTTCTCCATAGCATTTCTCCATATGTGTCTTGGAGTTGATTTCTGTGCCTGTCAAGCCTATACGACAGAGTAGAACAGTTCCATCCTGATTCCTAGCCTGTACGTTTATGAGAGTGGGTAGCTAGGTCTTTCTCCTGTGGAGCTGCTGGTGGTTTTGAGACGATGACTGTTCAGTTAGTAGGTGAACACTTAGTGTTGTCCTACCAGGAACCCTTATGAAGTGATAGGGCAGTGACGAGAATGTCAGCCATGTGCTCGGGGTACGGTTTGGGTATTTCAAAATCTAGTTAAAATTGTACAATGCATCAGATATATTTAGAAATAAGAACCAAAATTGCTACCTTGCTGTGATAGGACTATTTATAACATAAGCTCATAGGCTCATAGGGAATTATAATAGACCATTTAAATAGCCAGTCTTTTGGCTGAATGTGTAACCTTGGATAAAGTCCTTATTTATAATTGGAACTGTGTGTTCATATTTATTTATTAGGAATAAGGAATTGACACATAAGCTTAAAGTGATGTCTTTCTTGACATGGCATTACATTAATGTAAATGGAATCTAGAAGGTACTTGACAATTACTCGTAGTCTTTTTTTGTAACAAATTCTTTATCATTTATAAAGGTAAATTGTCAGCCCAGCACAAATTTCAAATTATTTTAGTTCAAATTAGCGATGGAGGTTAGGCATTTGCAGAGAAATTGTTTAAGAATTTAACTTCCTTAGACTAAAGTATTAGTGTTAAAGTCTTAGATCCAGGTGCTACAGGGTCAAGTCACCGGTTTCCAACAGTAAAGATAATGCTACTTTATGTTTATTATTGGTTCCTAACTTGGTATTTTAAAGAGATTTCATATAATTTTGGAAAGGTCCTTCAGGTGGAATGACTGAAAAGCAATTTAAGGTTTTATGCCTAAGTGTTTTTGTCCCAGTAAAGAAATAATTTATCTAACAAGTTTTATTCGATGTATTAGACCAGCTTTTATTCACCTAATATATATATACTTTAAAAGCCATTCAAATTGCACATTCCCTTTGCCAACATTAGGTGCTGGAGTGTGGGGTCTGTGAAGATGTCTTTTCTTTACAAGGAGACAAAGTTCCTCGTCTTCTGCTTTGTGGCCACACGGTCTGCCATGACTGTCTCACCCGCCTCCCTCTTCACGGAAGGGCCATCCGTTGCCCATTTGATCGACAAGTGACAGACTTAGGTAGGAATATATAGATATGTGTTTAATATTTCAAAATGTTTATGATTCATCTGTTTTCCCACTTGATATTTAAAGTAATAAAATTAAAGTATTTCAGAATGCCAGAGTTTCTATTAAGGACAGTCATCTTATAAATGTAAACTAACCTAATAGTAGTTATTAGTTTTTCTTTATCATCTGAGATGATATTTGTTTAAGACACCTGAAAAAAAAACAGGTTCCTTATTCCAAGAATGTGCATTACAAAGTAAATAATTTGTCTGAAGCCTTAATCTAATATGACAGTATTTGCTTGTATAACTAAATGAGCCAGTGATGAAAATACAGGTAAGAACATGTTCTTATGTTCTCCCTTGAGACACAAATGTGTTTGCAGTTTGCGATAACGATCCCTTAAATAGGAGACTAAAGTCTGGTGAATCTTTTCCACTTTTCTGTATCTTCTAAAACTTCACTTCATATATTTCAAAATGAGTTATTACCTTGAATACCACATTTGGAAATAACAGCATATATTAACATTTGTTGTCAATCAATGGCAGTAATTTTCTCCCCCAATTTTACATTTTAACAATCATTTTTATAGACGTATATGTAATATAAGCTGTGCACATTTTACTCCTTGCTAGGGAAATTGTCTCTAAAATAGGTATTTCAAGGTCACAATCTTTTTTTTCAGATCAGTAGCACTATTTGTTTTGAGATCGCTTTAATGTAGTTATGCTGTGTGTCAAATTGAGTAGTTCAAAATAACTTACCCAGCAAATATAGGCAATAAGGTAGCCAGATTTTAAGACTGGAAAACTTTAAAATGATAAGTAATATAGTTGTAAAGGTGGTGGTGATTAATGTAAATAAGTAGTTTGCTCAATTTGCCCAACTAATACAGCACAGGCAGAGCCTTAGTAAGGATAAAATTCATTTACTATTAGCCAAGAAATAATGGGTGAGATGCTATCTCTATTTTTAGATTCTTTTATTTGCTTTTTCATTTTATAATATATACAATGTATCATGCAATTTTCTTTATGTAAGACTATATTTATAGAAATTGTAACTTTTGCAATGAAGGCTCGACTTTCTCTGCCTTCTCCACTCCCAGTGCCTTTTTGGAAGGAGCCTTGATGGCATATTGGTTACAGTGGTCTGTGAACTGCAAGGTCAGCAGTTTAACCAGCTGGGAGGCTTTTACTCCTGTAGAGAAAAGATTTATAATCTTGGTAACTCATGGGAGTTTGGAAACCCACAGAATTGACTCAGTGGAATTGAAAATTGAGTGCCTTGTTGACAGGATATCACACCTTGTTTACATTTAACATCCCAATGTGGTTCTTGCTACCCTTGATTTTTAAATAAGCCAGGACTTAGGGCAGTGTTAGTCATCCTATACTGAAATTAGTCTTGATTATTGTGATTACATTATCAATTTAGAACAAGCAAACAAACCTGCCTTAGATATAGATGGTAATTAACATAGCTTGCAATTTGAGTTTTGCTGTGATTCCATTTCGTGGAATACATGTTAGGGCCCTTTGTAGAGTTTGATTATTCCTTTTAAAATAATTCTACTTTTAACTTGTATTATCAAAGTAATACAAGGGGGTACCCCTCCAAAAAAAAGGAAAAATGCTCTGCTGTGCGGAGCTTTTATAGTACGCATTTTTCCTGCTAGGAGAGCATCCAGCAACTCCCTCTGACTTAGCGCACCCAGTGGCATCACCTGGGAAGGTTCTCTCTGGTCACAGTGAATTGTTTCTGTAAGAGCTGTTTTGTTTGAACCTCTTTTTTTTGGTGATGTCTGATATAAGAGAACTGTATGTGGCTGTGAAACTGTTTCCTGCTTGGGAAAAATGCTGCAGAAACTGCTGTGATGTGTTGAACACAGCTTACAAGGACAGCGCTATTGGAAAAACTCATGTGTGCTACTGGTTTTCACGTTTCATAAAAGGTGAAACGTTGATTGAAGACAAAATGTTTTTTTGGACTGCCTTCAACTTCCTGATCGGATGAAAATGTTGACAAAATGTGTGCACTTGAGCTCGAAGACCAATGATGAACCATTGAAGAGATATGGGGAAGTTATCTGGACTATCTAGGAACTTGGTTCAGCGAATTTTAACAGAAGATTTTGGAATGAGAAGGATCGCCGGGAAATTTCTGCCTCGGGTTCTGACTGACCAGGAAAAAGAGCATCGACTGGAAACACGCCGTGCTTTGAAAGACCAGCTCCAAAGTGACCCAGACTTTTTTCTAAGGTCGCTACTGATGACAAGACCTGGCGCTATTCTTACGACCCTGAAAGCAAACGTCAATCAAACCAGTGGAAAACTCCATCATCACTCTGTCCCCCAAAAAGCTTGTCAAGTGAAATAAAAGATCAAGATGATGTTCATTTGGTTTTTTAATGTGAGGGGATAAGATAGTGCATACGGAGTTCAATCCACCAGGTGAGACTGTTAATCAAGCTTTCTATTTAGAGGTTCTGAAAAGATTGTGAAAGTGTGCAACAAAAAGGCCTCATTTGTGGCAGACTGGGGACTGGTTTTGTCACCACAACAGTGCACCTTCTCATGCAGCCATCTCAGTCGTCAATTTTTGGCAAAAAACAGCATGCCTCTCTTTCCCCTGACCTTGCTCCATGTGACTTCTTTTGTTTCCATGAATGAAGAGAGACATGAAAGGACAGCAATTTGAGGACATAGAAGAGGTGAAGAAAAAAAGCCAGGGAGGTGCTGTCAGCCATCCAAACAGATGCGCTTGAAAATGTTTCCAAGAATGAAGTAGCAGATTTGACAGATATGTGATGGAGAGTACTTTTAAGGTGATAAGATTGTTTTGTAAAAAAAAAAAAAAAATTTAACATAACTTTGAAAAATAAAATTCTGGGTTTTTGGGGTACCCTCTCGTATGTATTGTAGAAAATTTGAAAATACAAAACATAAAGTATAAAGTTATTTATAATTTTTCCTTCTGGAGAATAAAACCATTGTTACTGTGAAAGATCATAATGAGAGTTAAAGTCCAAGAAGAGCATCAGTTGTTTTTTGTGGTAGTTACTAATACTTTTCATTAATATTTCTCCTTTCCCTCTGTCCACATCGTAAAATTGCACTTTCTTGCCTTCCTACCAGTACGTATTGCTGTGTGACTTTCTCTTAAATAGTGAAATGTGGGTAGAGTGATGTGGTCACCACTTGAACATTTAAGAGGAGGGTCATGGTTATTTGCCATAAGTTATTCTCCCTGCTCCTTTGGCTAGAGATGGCTCAGGGGGCAAGAGGCAACGGTCTGTGTCTCTGAGGGAGGACAGTGGACAAAGAGTCTCTTGATTCTTCTCCAGCTGCTGAGGTGTTGCATAAACAAAAATTAAATCTTTGTTGGCATTTTAAACCACTGAAATTATATAGTTGTGCTATATACAGTTGCACACAATTCTTATTTGAGGAAGAAGATCTAGGAGTTTCTGTTTCTATGGCATTGTATAAGCATTGAATATTTGGGGAATTTTTATGATCATAGTTATATAAAGGGCTCATCTAGTATATGCTTTACACTTTTATAAAAATAGAGTAGTTAGAATCCAGGTTGTTGCAGAATAACAACCAGAAATTAGAACACTGAAGGGGAAAACCTTTTGGGGATGGTAGGGGCATGCTGGGTGGACTGCATAAAGATACTTGGGAAGCAGGTCTTCTAAAAAAGCTCACCATCTAACTGACAAAAAAGGATCTTCCTTTCTGAGTTCAGGAAAGGGATGTATGTGTGTATATGCACTTACATGGACTTGTGTGCTGAGTTTGGGGAGAAGAAGCATTGGCCATGGAGACTGTTGTCTTGCTTTGGTGTGAGGCTCTGTAGATTTATGTGAGGAGTTTAATAATTTATTGCTACATATTACAGAAGGGATAGGGAAATATCTTCAGCTGTTCTAATTTCAATTTTCTTACAAATGGAGCATTGTGGGTTGAAATGTGTCTTTAGTACCATGATTTTCACATATGGGCCATAACTTACTTGGTCATGAAATCAGTTAAACTGGTAAGGAACATCAGATTTAAAAAAAATAGAATAAAAAATAGTGCATTGTACACTACTGGTAAATATTTTTTCAAAAATATACCAGGTGAAATGTTTGTTTCAGTTGTATACATGTATGTTTTCTTTGGTTGCAAAGTAAAATGTATTGTAGTCTTCTGGAAAATGAATTTATCTGGAAGCACATTTTTAGTATAAAGAGCAAAAAGTCAGTGACAAACAGTTTTAAAAATTAGTTGATAGAAAAAAATTTAAAAAAAGAAAAAATATTATAATTTTAAAGAATTTTCTGCTTGAAATGGTGAGGGGTACTTTTTCTTTGGGGGAAGAGAATATTAGAAATCAATTGTTCTCACAAATGGAAATAGAGAAGATTTGATTTTAAAAGTTTAGACATTATTAGTGATTAGTATCACTTAGAAATTAATAGTGAAGGATATGGAGTAAAATATTTGAAATTCCATTATGTTAAATTTAGTTTGGTTTGTTTTTTAAACCCTAGGTGATTCAGGTGTCTGGGGCTTGAAAAAAAATTTTGCTTTATTGGAGCTTTTAGAGCGGCTGCAGAATGGACATATCGGTCAGTACGGAGCAGCTGAAGATGCCATTGGGATATCTGGAGAGGTATTGAGTGAACTTTGTGAAATATTTATAAACATGTTTTTTTCTTTTAAATGTTTGTCATTCTAAGCACATTATAGTGACTGTAATCCACCAAGTATATGTTCATAAACATAACTTTTCATATCATTGAAGTTACATTACATGACATATCTTGAGGCTGAAATAACCTCAAGAGAACAAAAGTAAAACCAAACAAATTCATGGAAAATACTATGCCAAATTATACTTTGTGTGTAACATTGTCTCTTCGTGGAAGAAGGACGGCTGTAGTGCTCCTTCAAGGCAAGGAGTAGCAAGACTGGTCTTACATCCTTTGAAGACATGTGCTTCTTTCATCCCTATACATAATCATGTCAATATTTAAAGCAGTAGGTGTATCATAAAATCTTAATACTTCTAACCTCCCTGGGGGCATGAGGAACTAAAAAGTGAACATAAACTGCACATCAAGAGAGGGTTTGGTGAATGATTATCTTTGCCCTAACTTTTTATGAAAACAGTTTTAGCTTTGGTCTTAAATTTATAGCATATATAATCAGTCTTAAAAATCAGTGCTTTCCACCAGCCTATGCAACCACGAGGTGTCGAAGGGATCAGGTGTAAGGCATCATCAGAACAAAAAATCTTACCATAGTGAATGATGGGGGCAGTGCGGAGTGGAGATCCAAAGCCCATTAGCAGGCCACTGGAGATCCCCTTGCAGAGGGGTCTCAGGGAGGAGATGAGCCAGTCAGGGTGCGATGTAACAATGATGAAAAATACAATCTTCCTCTAGTTCCTAAAGGTTTCCTCCCTGCTCCCACTACCATGACTTGAATTCTATCTTGCAAGACTGGCTAGACCAGAGGAGGTACACTGGTACAGATAGGAAATGAAAATACAGGGAATCCAGGACGGATGAGCCCTATAGGACCAGTGGTGTGAGTGGCAAAACAGGGAGGGTAAAGGGAGAATGGGTAGGGAAGAGGGAACCGATTACATGGAACTGTGTGTGACCTCCTCCCTGGGGGACAGACAACCGAAAAGTGATGAAGGGAGACGTCGGACAGGGCAAGATATGACAAAATACCCATTTATAAACTATCAAGGGCTCATGCGGGAGTGGGGAGCGGGGAGGGAGGGGAAAAATGAGGACCTAATGTTGGGGGTTTAAATGGAGAGAAAATGTTTTGAGAATGATGTACAAATGCGCTTTACACAATTGATGTGTGTATGGATTGGGATAACAGTTGTATGAGCCCCTAATAAAATGTTAAAAAAGAAAAAGAAAAGAAAAAAAAAAACCAACAAAACAAAACAAAACAAAAAAAATCAGTGCTTTCTTAGGACTTATATACTTAGTTACTATTATATTTGTATGTATTAAGACTTCTCAGTGAAAGTTGATTTTATATTTTAAATAAGGTGACCAGATTTTAACATTGGTAAAGCGGGACACCATTGATAAAACTCATATCCTGGTGAAATAGCCACATGGCAGCTGCAAACCGTATACCCTAGCTTGTCGTGCATTCTTTCCAAAAATCGGGACTTTTTAAAAACGCCACGGGACGTGGGAAAAATTGTTAGAAATCGGGACTGCCCCGCCAAAAGCAGGACGTCTGGTCACCTTAATTTTAAAATATATCATGCTATCATTTTTGGTATTTCGTTTTACAGCATTAATCTTTTGTTTGTCAGAGCATCATTCGTTGCGATGAAGATGAAGCACATGTTGCGTCTGTATATTGCACTGTATGCGCAACTCACTTATGCTCAGAGTGTTCCCAAGTGACTCACGCTACAAAGACACTAGCAAAGCACAAGCGTGTGCCTCTAGCCGATAAGCCTCATGAGAAAACCATGTGCTCTCAGCACCAGGTGCATGCCATTGAGTTTGTTTGCTTGGAAGAAGGTTGTCAAGCTAGCCCACTTATGTGCTGCGTCTGCAAAGAATATGGAAAACACCAAGGTCACAAGGTATGATTTTAATTAAATGACTGTTTACTGCCCACTGTTGGTTTTCCCTGTTGAAAATAGACCTTGAAGAAGAAAGAGTTACAACGTGAACAGGTTGGGATGGGTAGCTTGAAAAGACAGGAAGATTTAGTTTCTGAATGTCAGAAGAAAAATTTCAGGGAGCCTTTATGATTCTTTCTTTACTGAAAATAACTTTCTCACAGAAAACAAATCTGTATGCAAAATTTTAATAATGTACTATATTATTTTGACAGTATTGGTATCTGCTGCTGAACTTTCACTTATACAATTTTAGAATATTTGGTTTCTTTTGTAGTGAGAAATGGACTTCCAAGTTTTAAATTATTTATTTTTTTATAAAAGGTTCTAGGAAAATTAGTATTTTTTTTATTTGTGATTCCCCTCCTCCCCTAAATGTAGTATAAAAGCTACTCATGGCTTAAGCTTTTTAGCAGAAAAAATTTAAAACTGTTTAAATATCCATAGTCACTATTGTAAGTCTTTATAATTATGTTGTGTTTTACAGCATTCAGTATTGGAACCAGAAGCTGATCAGATCCGAGCTTCAATTTTAGATATGGCTCACTGCATACGAACCTTTACTGAGGAAATTTCAGATTATTCAAGAAAATTAGTTGGAATTGTTCAGCATATTGAAGGAGGAGAGCAAATAGTGGAAGATGGAATTGGAATGGCCCACACAGAACATGTATGGATTTTTAAAAATTTTATTTCTTTTCCTTTTTACCCTTTGACCTATGTATTTATTGAGTAGTAACAATATGTCATCACTGCATTAGTCATTGGAAGTAAGTTTTTAATCACATCTCTGATTTCTTGGAACTTAGAGCTAAGTATGAAAGGGAGGCAATTTAAAGTATGGTAACTTCATTTTGTGGGGAAGATATGTAATAGGGCAAACAATTTAGGTGGATTAAAGCATACTTCCTAAAGAAATGATGTCTAAACTGGGATTTTAGAAGGATTTTTACTGTGGTGAATGTATATATATCAAGCATTTGCTCTTTATGGCTGAGTAATATTTCATTTTATTTATGAATATTGTGCTTATGCATTCTTTGGTTGGTTAACATTTAGACTATTTCCATTTTTCATTATTGTGAAGAGTGCCACAAAAAACATAGTTGTATTGGTATGTACCTGTTGTTTCTGTATAGTATTCTAAAAGTGGCATTACTATATTATAATTTTAAGTTTAAGCTTTTGTGGAACCACTGAAGTAGTTTTTTAAATCATTTTATTGGGGGCTCATACAACCCTTATCACAATCCATACATGCATCATTGTATGTCAAGCACATTTGTATGTTTGTTGTCCTCATCAATCTCAAAACACTTGCTTTCTACTTAAGCCCTTGGTATCAGCTCCTCTTTTTTTCCCCTCCCTCCCCATCCTCCCATGAACCCTTGATAATTATAAAATTATTATTATTTTGTCATGAAGTATTTTTTAAAAGTTTTATTGACATATAAGCCAACGGTTTGAATATATTTTTTAAATTGTGCAATCATCACTACAATCAATTTTAGAACATTTTCTTTGTTTTTGTACTTACTGTTATTAGCTTCCCATTTCACCCCATCCTCCCCTGCCATAACCCTTAAAAACTCTTAATCTAGTTCCTGTCTCTAGCTTGGATCTCATAAAAAGAAAATTATTACCCCCTCCCAACAATAAGGAAATAAAAAAGAAAAATATAAGTCCAAAAGAAAGCAGAAAATTAGAATAAATGTAAAATCAGTCAAAGGGGTTTTCATTGTCATCCATAGCTTTCTGCAAACTGAGTTATCAGAATTCAAGTTCTGGTCCTCCTCCAGTCTTGGGTTTTATTATTTACAATCCTTGGAACACACAGCCTAATGAACTTCTTCCATGTGGACTTAGTTGACATCTCTCTTTGATGGCTGCTTGCTTTAAAACCCCAGATGCTATTTTTTGTGATAACCAGGCACATTCCCCTTTCTTTATCACACTTTACTGTAGTGCCCCTATCTTCAGTCATCCCTTTATGAGGGCAAGTATCCAGCAGGGCCATATCATAAGAACTGATACTTCGGTTTATATATAATCCTGTAGTACTCATTATCATTGAGTCAGTACTGACTGGCAACCCTTGTGGGTTTCCTAATTTATTACTGTTCACAGGAGTAGAAAGCCCAGTCTTTCTCCCAAGGAGCTGCTGGTGGTTTCGAACTACCCATCATGCAGCTTGCAGACCACCACATAACCACTACACCACTAGGGCAGCATTGTTATCTTTTTGAGGGCTAATGTAAGTAACGCCCATGGGGCCTTTGGTAATTCTAATTGTATCATTAAACTACTCTAGAGTATTTCCGAGAGCAGTAGTCTTGTTTTACAGTCCCACTAGCAGTGGATAATGGTTCCTCGTTTCTTATGTTTTCAGCGAAACATACTGCCCTTTACTTGTTTAATTGTGACCTTCTTAGTAGGTATGAAGTGCTCTCTCATTGTGGTTTTGATTTGTATTCCCTAGTGGTTAATGATAAGAAGCCCTGGTGGTGTAGTGGTTACGCATTGAGCTGCTAACTACGAGGTCAGTAGTTTGAAACCACCAGCCACTCCAAGGAAGAAAGATGAGGCTTTCCACTGCCATAAAGAATGACAGTCTCAGAAACCCAGAGGGGCCTTTCTACCCTTCTCTGTAGGGTCACCAAGAGTCAGCTGACTTGATGGCAATTAGTTCTTTTAATCTTTTCTTAAATGACTATTGATAGTGAGGAGCAAGCACATCATGTGCTGTAGTGCTTGGCTGTTAACCTAAAGTCTAGCAATGGGAATGTATTTTGCTCTCCATGAATAAAGATGGGATAGTATGCATCCATAAACTTAACAACCTGGAAACTTTGGGGATAATTCTACTCTGTTCTAAAGGATCACTGTGCATTGGAATTGATGACAGAAACCCATTCTTCAATGACTAATGTGAGTCCTTGAGATGGTACCAATGGTTAATATGTTCTGCTGCAAATCAAAGGTTGGAAGTTGGAGACAACTAAGGAGTACCTTTGAAGAAAAGTCTGGGTATCGATTTCTCAAAAATTTCACTATTGAAAACTGTATAGAGCCAAGTTCTGCTTTGACATATGTGGAGTTGCCATGGGTTGGAATCAACTCCGTAACAATTGGTTGATTAATGATTCTGAGTATCTTTTCGTTGGCTATTGGCCATAAAGTGCAATTTGAAGGCATTAAGTCAGGGAGAAGAATGAGGTAGGAATTAGGTTAACCTAAAAAGAAAGCTTATGTTGAGGTGTATAGAAGTAGAAATTGGTCACATTATATAGCTTAAAATAAATGCCTGTAGTTAGAACTTTGACTATTGAGTGGGCCTGCAAGAAAAGAGGTTGGAGACTTAAAGCCAATGAATTTAGCATTTCTTTATGATAAAGATGTTGACACTTAAACCCTTAGGGGCAGTGAGGAACCACTGAAGAATTGGCAGAGGAAAAACAATTGGATTTGTCTTTAAGCTAGAAAATGAATAGGAGAAAACGAAAAGGTTGGAACCTAGGAGACCTGTTAAAAGGATACAGAAATTTCCTGTTGAAAGGTGTTTATGGACTTCAAAGACTAGGGTAGTGAGAATGGAGAGAATTAGATGGCTTTCAGATTTTAAAGAAATATAATGTTTTGTTTTGCTTTTAGTTGTTTTAGTGCTTATTATTGTCTCTGCATGGCTATCTAGATAAGATAGGTGGGATAAACAATCCGGAGGAGAAAACAACGGGACCGACGGTTCCGGGCATACAGGAGAGAGGGAGGCAGGGGAAAGGAAGGGGGGTGCCAACAAGCCTTGGGACAAGGGACAAGTGATCTAAAATCGATTGTGAGGAGGGCGTAGGATGCCTGGTGGGGCTCGATCAAGTGCATTGTAGCCGAGAGGAATTACTGGGAGCCAGATGAAGGCTGAACATGATAGTGCGACAAGAGAAAAGTAAAAGGAAATAGAGGAAAGGACTAAGAGGCAAAGGACCTTTGCAGAGGTCTAAATATAGGCATGTATATTTGTAAATATGTTTATATATAACGATAGGGAAATAGATCTATGTACATATATTTATATGTTGTTTTAAGGTAGCAGGTGGCTATTGGGCCTCTACTCAAGGACTCCCTCAAAGCAAGAACACTTTGTTCTAATAACCAAGCATTCTATGATGCTTACCTTCCCAACACAATCGCTGAAGACAAAGTGGGTGAATAAGCAAATGTGGTGAAGAAAGCTGATGGTGCCCAGCTATCAAGAGATATAGTGTCTGGGGCAGGCATCCTCAAACTTGGCCCGCAGGCCACAAGCGACCCGCCGAGAACATTTATCTGGCCTGCCGATGTTTTTGCCCCATTTGTTTTTTTACTTCAAAATAAGATATGTGCAGTGTGCATAGGAATTTGTTCATAGTTTTTTTTTAAACTATAGTCCAGCCCTCCCAATGGGTCTGAGGGACAGTGAACTGGCCCCCTGTTTAAAAAGTTTGAGGACCCCTGGTCTGGGGTCTTAAAGGCTTGAAGACAAACAAGCTGGGAAGCAACAAAGCCCACATGGAAGAAGCACACTAGCCTGTGTGATCATGAGGTGCTAATGGGAACAGGTATTGGGCATCAAAGATCCAGAACAAAAACATCATATTAATGTGAATGAGGGGGAGGGTGGAGTAGAGACCCAAAGTCCATCTGTAGACAGTTGGACATCCCCTTACGGAAGGGTCACAAGGAAGAGACAATCCAGTCAGGGTGCAGTATAGCACGGACGAAACATACAAGTTTCCTCTAGTTCTGTAATGCTTCCTCCCCACCACTATCATGATCCCAATTCTATCTTACAAATCCGGCTAGACTAGAGCATGTGCTTGGAAACACGGAATCCAGGGCAAATAAACTTCTCAGGACCACTAATGAGAGTAGCAATACCAAGAGGGGAAGGGGAAGGTAGGGGGAGAAAAGGGGAACTGATCACAATAATCTTCATATGATCCCCTCCCAGGGGGATAGACAACATAAAGGGGGTGAAGGGAGACAGCAGTTGGTGTAAGACATGAAAAAAAAAATCAAGGGTTCATGAGGAAGGGAGGGTGGGAAGGGGTAAAATGGCTGAAAGCAGGGCTCAAGTAGAAAGAAAATGTTTTGAAAATGGTGATGGCAACATATGTACAGATGTGCTGGACCCGATGTATGTATGTATGATGATAAGATCTGTAAGAACCACCTATAAAAATGAAGTTTTTTAAAAAAGAAAGATATTCTGGGGCTTAAAGTGTTGATTGGTAAGGTGACTGGAGAGTGAAGCGTGATGCCCGGCTCAGCTGGACAGATAATGGTATCATGCATTGATGGAGGGGTGGCATTTTGGGGAGGGGATAATAGGAATAAGATAATACTTTTAATTTAGAAATTAAATTTCTTATTACTGTGTGAGGCCTGGTTGACTAGAGAAACAAACCCAGAGATGATCAGATATGCGTAAGAGCGTGCTTTACGAGGTGGCACCCAAAAAATCACTTTTCTGCTAGGCGAGCATTGAGCAAATTGCTCTGAGTTAGTGGAACCAGTGGTATCACTTGGGAAGGTTCTCTCTGGTCTCAGTGAATTTTTTCCTAAGTGCTGTTTAGCTTGAACCTCTTTTTTTGTGATGGCTGATTTGAGAGAATAGTGTGTGGCTGTGAAATTTTGTTTCCTGCTTTGGAAAAATGCTGCAGAAATGGTTGTGATATTGAAAACAGCTTACAAGGACAACATTATGGGAAAAACTCAAGTGATGAGTGGTTTTCTATTTTCAAAAAAAGGAGAAATGTCGCTTGATAACAAACCTCGTTCAGAATGTCAGTCAACTTCCTGAAAGGACAAAAATGTCGACTTATAGTGCATTTGCAGTTTATTCCACCAGGTCAGCCTGTTAATCAGCTTTTTTTTTTTTAGAGGTTCTTAAAAGAATGTGTAGCAGTGGGCAACAACAAAGGCCTGATATGTGGCACACAGGGGACTGGTTTTGCCACCCTGACAATGCACCTGCTCACACAGCCATCTCAGTGTACCAATTTTTGGCAAAAAACACCATGCCTCTCTTGCACCGTGCACCTTTCTCACCTGACCTCACTCCATGTGATTTCCACGAATGAAGATGGAATTATTTTTTTAAAATCTATGTATTTAAGTATTTTTTTTTTACAAAACAACCGTATCACATTCAGAGTACTCTTCATTACTTTTAATACATTTGTCAAATCTGTGATTCCATTCTTGGAAACACTTTTCAAACTCATCTGTTTGGATAGCTGACAGCACCTCCCTCTTTTTTTTTTCTCCCCGCTTCCAAATTGTCAAATCACTGGCCTTTCATGTCCCTCGTCATTTGGGGAAACAAAATGAAGTCATCACATGGAGCGAGGTCAGGTGAGTAAGGTGCATGAGGCAAGAGAGGCATGGTGTTTTTTGCCAAAAACTGTTGCACCGAGATAGATGACTGGGTGAGCAGGTGCAGTGTGGTGACAAAACCAGTCCCCCATCTGCCATAAATCAGGCCTTTTTGGATGCACACTTTTACGTAATCTTTTCAGAACCTCTAAATAGAAAGCTTGATTAACAGTCTCACCTGGTGGAAAGAACTCCAAATGCAGTATCCCCTCACGTCAAAAACACCAAATGAGCATCATCTTCCTCTTTGATTTCTCTTGACGCGCTTATTTTTGGGTGGGGTGATGATGGCGTCTTTCCCTGGCTTGATCAATGTTTGCTTTTGGGGTCGTAAGAATAGCACCATGTCTTGTCATCAGTAATGACCTTTGGAAAAAAGCATGGGTCAATTTGGAGATGTTCTTTCAAAGCACGGCATGCTTCCTCTTGTCGCTTTTTTCCTGGTCCGTCAGAACCGGAGGCACAAATTTCGCAGTGACCCTTCTCACTCCCAAATCTTCTGTTAAAGTTCGCTGAACCCAGCTCCATGGTAGTGCAGATAACTTCCCCATCACTCCAGTGGTCCACTTTGGTCTCCCAGCACGGATGCACGGTTTTGCCTGGCATTTTCATCTGCTCTGGAAGTTGATGGGACGTCCAGAATGGGGTTTGTCGTCAGGCGGCATTTCACCGTTTTTGAAATGAGAAAACCACTCATGCACGTGAGTTTTTTCCATGGTGCTGTCCTTGTAAGCTTTGTTTAACACCACAACAGTTGCTGCGGCATTTTTCCTGATCAGGAAACAAAATTTCACAGCTGTACAGTGTTGTCTTATATTGGCCATCACAAAAAGCGAGGTTCGAGTGACACCGTTTTTATGAAAGAATTCACTGGTGTTCAGTGAGAAACTTGCTAGGTGATGCTACTGCTTACACTGTATCAGAGCGAGTTGCTCGATGCTTGCCTAGCGGGGAAAAATGAGTACTATAAAAGCTCTGCCGGGGGAGCTATTTTCCATTTTGTTTTTTTTGGGGGGTACCCCCTCCTACTATGAAGTGTAGAGATTTTGGTGAGGGACTAGACATGGGATATGAAAAAGTGATGTTAAGAATGACAAACATGTTTGGCTTGAACTACCAGGAGGATTGGGTTGCTATTTCAATATTGAGATGAAGGAAACTGTATTTGGTGTTTGGGAAGACTAGAGAGTAAGTGTTCAGTTTTGCCTGAGAAGTCAGTTAAGTGGTTGGATAAATTATGGCATTTGTAGGAGAGATCTGGTGTGGCTATGTAAATTTTTAAATTGATGAGGATTAGATGATATTTAAATATTCAATATTTCGCATGTAAAATATTTAAGGTTATGCTTCTTCAAATTTATTTTTTCTTTAGGTACCAGGTACAGCCGAGAATGCCCGGTCATGTGTCCGAGCTTATTTTTCTGATCTTCATGAAACTCTGTGTCGTCAAGAAGAGATGGCTCTGAGTGTCGTCGATGCCCATGTTCGAGAGAAACTTATTTGGCTCAGGCAGCAGCAAGAAGATATGACTATTTTGTTGTCCCAGGTTTCAACAGCTTGTCTCCATTGTGAAAAGACTTTGCAACAGGTAGCTGGATTAGACATGGTTTAGGAAAGAGGATTTTAGGGTTATTTAATGAGAAAAGGGGTACATATTAGTTTATCTTATTATTTTGATAACTAGTGTCTGCTGTGTGCATTAGCTTTGTGATTAGGGCTTAGTTTCTCATCTTAAACTGCTCCACCAACTAACTGGATTCGTGCCCTTTCCTTCATGCCCCTGCGGTGACTCCCTTGGCGGTGAGTGTGTCTGACTCCCTCTGGCTTCCAAGACATGCCTCCACGCTCCATCCTGCTATGCCTACTCTGACACCAACTGTCCCTCCCAGGGCACTCTGTGTCTGTGCTGGGTCCTACAATTCATAGAAATGGCCACACAGAACTCACAGACAATACTCATAATTAAGGGGGTTTATTAGTGAAGTTAATAGGTTACCACAAGTCAGGATCAGCATATAGTAAGGATAGAGTTCACAGCTACATCACTCTTCAGCCAGCAGCCAACTTTCTCTGGTCCACAATCTCCCTTTGCTTTTGGTAATCCCCTTGCCTTTGCCTTCACCAATCAGGAAGACAGCCTACCTGTCAGTGTGTCCCACAGTTCCATGTCTCTGGTGCATCTGATCTTGGGAGTCTCTGAACTCCTCAGACAGAGACCTTGACTTGCTCTTTCAAAAGGTCTTGTGAGTTCTCTGTGTCCCAGAAGACTCATACACTGAAGAATGGCTTTAATGATGGTGGGGTGGTCTCTTAGCAGGCCGTACCTCCCAGAAAGAGGAAGGTTGGTGGCTTAAGTCACACCCTCTACTAAGTAGAGTTTAAGTCACATATTCTAGTAAAACCAAAACCAAACTCACTGTTGTTGACTTGATGTCAACTCAGAGTGACCCTGTAGGATAGAGCAGAACTGCCCCTATGAAGTTTCTGAGATGGTAACTCAGTACTGGAGTAGAAAGTCCAGTCTTTCTCACTTAGCAACCCAACAAGTAACCACTGCACCTCTCCCACTCTAGTAGAGTTTAAAGACGCCGTCAGGCAAATAGGGTTTGCTTGGTTCACGCCCTCTACTAAGGCCAGCTCTGCCTTAATCCTGTAACAGAGAACTACCACATAGATCATAGCCACAGGCCTATGTTGATAGGAAGTGAGATTTGGGTGAAAAGTTGAAGAAAATGAAGGAGTTAGTTCAAGCTCCAATGTGGAGGAAGAGTATTCCAGCTGAGGAGATGGTCAATGCAGAATTCTTAGAGCTGCTGCCTAATGTGTTGGATTAGCAAAAGAGGCTGAAGTAGAGTAGGTGAGACAACGAAAAAGTAACGAGAACCAAAATCAGATAGGTAACAAACTATGCTAAGGCCCAGTGGGTTCTTACAAGGATTTCAACTTTTACTGGTCGGTGTAGGCACCCACTCTAGGGTCTTGAGCAATGAAGTGCCTTGATCTGACTCGCTAAAAGAATCACTCTGTGTGAACTGCAGGACTCAAGGGTGGCAGAACTAGAAAGAAGGAGTGAGAGACGATAGTGGCTCTGACAGGGCCAGGGTTAGACATGGCCAGAGTCTGTGTAGCCATTAGGATTTGCTGACAGTTGTCGTGAGATAGACAGGGGAGAGGAGGTAAGAAGGACTTCAAGACTTTGGTCCTGGGCAGGTGGAACAACGGAATTGTTACCAACTAACATAAATGTTCAGCAGTGACCAAACACAAGCAGTACTACTTCCCACATGCATATCAGCTTTGCCAGCTTTGGTTATGAATATAAATGGAATATAACAAACTCTTTATATCTGACTTCTTTCACCCTCCATTGTATTTTTGAGATTCATCTTACCAAATGTAGTTGTGGTTCAGTCTCACTGTGGGACAGCTTTCTGTTGTGTGAATTACACCACAATTTGTTATCCTCGTCTGTTGACAGGCTCTTATATTATTTGTTAATGCCCAGTTGCTGTCCTATTCACATTTACTTGTCATTTAATTTTTTTTTACTTGTAACTTAATTTTGAGTGTTATAAAATTCAGTAGGCCTTTTCCTTATTTATTTAACAAAAAGCTTATGAGAGATACTGTCTTCTCTAGGATGACTGTAGAGTTGTTTTGGCTAAACAAGATATTACACGGCTACTGGAAATGTTGCAGAAGCAGCAGCAGCAGTTTACGGAGGTTGCAGATCACATTCAGTTGGATGCCAGCATCCCCGTCACTTTTACAAAGGTAATGCACTGTACTGCACTTTTAGCTTCCTGACAGATCATGACTGATGCATGTCCCACGACAGGTTCCTGGAAGAGGCAACTAGGGTAACTCATGAATTACTCGGCTTTTAAAAAATGTGTTTTTGCTAAAAAATAGAATGATACCGCTAATCTTCTCTGTCTTTGAACTTTAAAAACCTCTTGTTTCAAAAACCCCTTTCGCCATGTTATACTTCTTACCTACTCTTTCCAGCCCTACCCTGGATATTTTGAAGTAAATCTCAGCTAGCATGTCATTTCCTCTGTGAACTATGTTAATGTGTCTCACCAAAGAAAATGCTTTTTAAAAAATTAACCAAAATAGTGTTATCATACATAAATATTTAATAATATATCTAGATAATGGTAAATATTGATGAGTTATTGTTAAAAGTTTTAGGTGTGATGATAATATTTTAGTTAATTTTTTTTAAGTCTGTCTAAAGATCCATACACAGCATTTAGTCAAAACTTGCATTTATTTTCAAAGACTGATTGGTTTTTGCTTGTTTGTTTTAAAATGATGAGAAACACTGACTTTATTCAGTCACATCTACAAAGCACAGTACTTTCAGAGAAGCTGACCTCCTCCTATTCCTGCCTGTCTACCCTCTTTCCTCCCTGCCTCATAGATGCACATTCATAACTTTTTATTAGTTTATTCTTATATTTAAAAAATATAAATATGTCTGTATTTGTGTTCACAGTTCCCATGTGTAAAGCTCGCATGCCTGGCATACTTTTCTCCGCCTTGCTCCTTTTTCTAACCTCACCTTTGAGGGATCATGCTAGAGCAGTGCAGCGGGATTGTTTCCATTCCTTTCTCCAGCTTCCTGGTACTCTACTCTGAGGGTGCACCGTGTTTATTCATCCAGTCCGATACTGGTGAACACTTGTGGAAGTCTCTCAGTATTAGAAATAGTGCTGTGATAGCCCTGTACATGTCTTTTCAACCTTTGTCAGCCTGTCAGACACAAATCGTACAGATGAGATAAAGAATAAATAGGTTTGCAATATTGCCAGATATTGCCAGTTCCCTGTGATGGGTTTACATTCTTTTTATTTTCACTAGCAATGTATAAAGGTTTACGCTTCTCCACAGCCCACCCAACAGAGTACCTTGTCCAAGTAGGTTATGAAATGCTATCAGTTTTGTGGTATGGTCTTAATGGATTATATGCTATAGATTTTCAGCTACAGTATAACATAAGGGTAAAAAGGTCCTGGAGTTGGGTATCAGTAGAAACTTTTTTAGTGAGTTTGAGGTTGTTATGAAGCACAATTAATATGTATTTTTCTTTGCCTATGGTCTTATATTAAAAAAAAGTTCTGTCATGAAAGTTTAAATCTTGTTCAAGGTGTCCATATTATCTTTTTTGTTATGGACATTAGCTCTGCAGTATATAGCAGTGAAGTATTTACTGCTTTATTTTATAGAGCTTTTTTTTTTTTTTTTGGCTAAAGTCAGATTTTACCAGTGAATTCCAAGAGCAACGCCTTAGCATCCGTATGCGAATCTGTGTGCAGCTCTCAAAGATCCATAAATATTTGGGGGGAATATGTATAATCAATCGTCTCCCTCCGCTCTCCTCACCATCGCTCAGGTATAAGGGTTTCACTTGAGATTTTTGAAAATAAGTACAATATAAAGACTACTCATGAGAAGGCTTAGTTGAGCTTGAAAACATAAGAACATTGATCTATAAAACAAAAGTGGTAAGTTATACTAAGAGATTTGCAATGGAGAGACATGTCTATGAGAAAATAAGATTATAGAGATTTGGGGGAATACGATTCATATGGCAGGGGGTTGAGGAATGAGTTGAATGTGAGGAATAATTAAGGAAGGTATTTTATCTAGAAAGAGAAAGGTTAAAAAAAAGAAGAAAGAAAAAGGTATAAAAGCTAATATGTCTAAAGAGTATACCAAAATGATAATATTTTATTAAATTATAGGACAATAGAGTTCACATTGGACCCAAAATGGAAATTCGAGTTGTTACATTAGGATTAGATGGTGCGGGAAAAACTACTATTTTGTTCAAGTTAAAGCAGGATGAGTTTATGCAGCCCATTCCAACAATTGGTATGTATAAATATTTCTTTTTAGTATAAGGGAGTTTTGTAGACACAGATGAGTTCACAGATGAGTTCTCAGGATGTTCTTTGTTACAGATGTGGCGTGAGGGTGGGATCTGAGACACCAGAATTTATGAGAGAGAAAACAAGACTATTTGACTCTGATGGAAATATGGATGATAAGATAGTAAGAAGGAATCTAGTGTTGGTGGAGCAGTAGAAGGAATAGAGGATCAGGGACCCTCACGGGATGGAATGGTACAGAATAGGCTGATAAAGTTAGCTTTTAAGGGCCTAAGAACCCTGGTGGAGGTGTAGATTCTTTTTTATTAAGAGTGGACTTGTCGGGTAGCATTAGCAGATATATGCAGATAGTTTTAAAGTTTTTAAAGGGTTGCCTGAATTTGATGTGTCACTCATTGTAAATATGAAAGCAACATAGAATACTTTTTTTTTCTATATATACAGGTTTTAATGTGGAAACTGTAGAATATAAAAATCTAAAATTCACCATTTGGGATGTAGGTGGAAAACACAAATTAAGACCATTGTGGAAACATTATTACCTTAATACTCAAGGTAAGAGTGAAAAATCATATACCCATGTACTCAAGTATAAGCTGACCCTAATATGAGCTGAGGCACCTAGTTTTACCACAAAGACTGCATAAAAATGTGCTGAAAAACTCGGCTTATGCACGAGTCTATACAGTATTTTTTGATGTTTTACCCTGCCAGTTTCAGTATAGTGATTTAAGCAGTTGTGCTTGCTTTGGCAGCACATTAAAATTAACTAGCAAGCTGATTCTGGAACATTGATTAGACAGAACTTGATTATACATTTAAATATCTGTGGGAAAACCCATATTTTTCTTTAATGACAGTGGAAAGACTGGGAGATATATTTTTAGTTTACTTCATGATAAAACGTAACTGCATTATGTCACATACACTTTGCCTAAGTTTGGATCGATTCACCTTTGGGCCCCATTCTGCGTTTTTGCCTACTGCACATACCCAGTGTGAAGCTTAGGTTCATGACACTGGTTCACCGAGCATCCCATCTCTCACCTAAATGGGAGACTAGATTAGTATTTGTGCTCTGAGACTTTTGATATTAAGTCAGAATGAGCCAGTTATTAATGGGGGAAAATAGAATCTTGAATATGAGGAATGTTTGAAAGAGCTATAGGGGTGTTTCATTTAAAGATGGTGTTTGTTTTTGGAAAGTCTGTCTTTTGGTAAAGAAAATCCCAAAACCAAACTCACTGCCGTTAAGCTGGTGCTGACTCACTGGAGCCCTGAGGATGTAGTAGTTAAGCATCAGGCTGCGATTCCAAGGTCAGTAGTCCAAAGCCACCAGCCAGTCTTCTGGAGAAAGATGGGCTTTCTCCTCCCATTAACAGTTACAGTCTTGGAAACTCACTGGGGCAGTTCTACCCTGTCTTGCTGGGTCGCTATGAGTTGGTAAAGGAAGTAGTAATCAAAGAACATGTAGCATCAGTAGGTAGAATACAGAAGCATGCTTTCATTCACTAGGAGAAGATATTTATTGCATAGCAACTTGAGTTTGGTAAAGTAAATGCTATAAGTCCTGTTCTACATAGATAGGGAAGCTAAAGCTGAAGAGTTCATTGTGAGCTTAACTTAAGAGCATACCACGACTTATTGCTGGATGCTCCTACAATCCTAGGCCTCCTTTAAGAACCAAAAAACAATGGTGATCGATAATCTCTAAATATATGACAGTGAGAACATTAAACTGTTTGGTCCATTTACTGAACTTTGAGTTACTAATTGAATTTTCCCTTCCATTTTTGGTAGCTGTTGTGTTTGTTGTTGACAGCAGTCACAGAGACAGAGTTAGTGAGGCGCACAGTGAACTTGCAAAGTTGTTAACGGAAAAAGAACTTCGAGATGCTTTGCTCCTGATTTTTGCTAATAAACAGGTAAATATACTTGTATCTCAGAATACTTATTTTAGTAGTTTTGTGTGCTTTATGTCACATAAAGACTTCAAAAGAGAATATATATAAAAAAAAAAAGAGAATAAATCCAATAGATATTTTGAAGTTTCTGTTGTGTTTTCTGAGTTCTTTCAATATGTAAAATGCTGTGCTGGGTACACAAAAAGAAGAAGATAATTTATGCTTACCCAGAGTGCTTATGTACATGTGAATATACAGGGGTTTAAAAAAACGAAGAGAAAATGGAATTAAAAGATAATGTGCTTTTTCCCCCCGATAGAATGCATTGTTTATTAATATATTTGTTAGAAAGGTTCAAGTCAATTTTGTATGTTGGGAGTCCTGTGGAAAGAGAGAGAATTAAAATCGGGATATAGACTGAATTTCAATTGTACCTTTAATGTGTTATTTATTTAAGTACAGAGGTGACAAAAAACCCTTCAGAATGTGAGTTTTCAACGTGATTAACAGAGTGGCTAACCTCATTTTTTTTCTTTGTTTAGTCGTTTTGGTTTTTTTTAATCATTTTATTAGGGGCTCATACAACTCTTATCACAATCCATACATGCATCAATTGTGTCAAGTACATTTGTACATTCATTGCTCTCATCATTCTCAAAACATTTGTTTTCCACTTAAGCCCCTGGCATCAGGTCCTCATTTTTTCCCCTCCCTCCCTGCTCCCCGCTCCCTCATGAACCCTTGATAATTTATAAATTATTATTTTGTCATATCTTGCCCTGTCGGACATCTCCCTTCACCCACTTTTCTGTTGTCC